GGCCTGGTGCACTGGGAAGACCCAGAGGGATCGGGTGGAGAGGGAGGTGGGAGGGGGGACCGGGATGGGGAATACATGTAAATCCATGGCTAATTCATTTCAATGTATGACAAAAACCACTGCAATGCTGTAAAGTAATTAGCCTCCAACTAATAAAAATAAATGAAAAAAAAATGATAAAGCAGCTTCATCACCAAGTAAACCGGCATCCTCCCAAATTTGCGCACCTGAGAGTACTTGTGAATTTAACATAATCAGTAAAGACTGGAAAATTAAGATAATGTTATAAAATGGCTATTTTTCATAGATCACACAAACACAAAATCTAATAGCCAAAAAAAAAAAAGACAGTAAGCTTCATTTGAAGTGTCTCTAAAGAGGCGATAGAGATCACTGAGTTATAAAACCAGTCTTTGGTGTGATAAAATCCTGCTTGTAGATGATCCGAAGAACAAAGCAATATGTTTATCAAATCCTAATACAGGCCACCAGAAGCAGAAGAAACAAAATGTAAAAGAGGATATTGACTACAGCCTGAATCACAGTGAAGATGGACTTTCTTCACAATGCTTAAAAAAATGTAATGTGAAGGGTTCAGTACATGATTATACACCAGGCACCATTATAGTCAGTCAAGTAATTAGCAGGGGCAAATGGGGCAAGGAAAATGCCTGTGCTCCCTAACCCCAAACATATTTTAAGGAAAATGTCATTTATAGAAGTAAAAGCTAGCACTTTAATTAAATTCTTTTCCAAAGTTATCACTAGATTTAAAATAAGAAATAAGAAAACCAAGTTCTAAGATGGATTTTCCGGTCTTCAACAAGAAATTTTAAGCTGGATAAACAGAATAGGCAGAACCTGCAAACTTAGTTTGACATACTGTTTCCAATTGGACTGCTCTATATGTTTTCAGTATAGAATGGACACTTTGGTTCCAAAAGATACCTCAGTTATGATGTTTATTGCCCATAAAACTGAGATTTCAGTATTTCTCAGCTTGGTTGCTTCAACAGTATCATGTAAAAATTAAAATGATCTCAAGCTTTTAACATCACTTTAAGATATAAGGAGTTTCAGAACCACCCAATTGTAGTTATGTCATTTTTACTCTATCAAATGTTGTGCTAGGCTATGGCTATGAAAGGAAAGATACTTTAAAGGTAAGCTTCAAGGAGCAGAGGCCAATAAGAATGATGGCACTTCAACAGGCAATGAAGCAGTGTGATATGATGGAGACTATGAAAGCACATGGAAGATAAGGAGAAATGTTAGGGAGAATTTCCCAGAGATATCACCCAGTCATAAGCAATGTTTAGGCTGGTGGACAAAAGAGAGAGGAGAGAGAGGGAATGGCAGATGCAAAGGCCTAAGAGAAAGAAAAGATGTGGTCAGTCCTTGAGTACAGCAGAAGTGAAGCCACAAGGAGGAAAGGGCAGAAAGTAAGGCCAGAAGGTCAGTTAAAGAGCAGCTCACACAGTACATTTGGACTCTACAAATTTTGTCCTGAATGAATGGAATGGAAAGTACTGAATGACTTTAAGGAAGGACCATAATCATATTTATATTTTTGAAGAATCACAAGTTCCTCAGCACCAGCAAATGTAATGTGTACCAAATCGTTGAGGGGAACAGGAAGAATGAAGAGGGTTAACTTAAGAGACTCAACGACTTGAGATCAAATAGAACTTTGTGAATGAAAGGGAAAAAGAAGAGGTGGATGGGTAAAGTGATGCCTATAACAAAAGCAGGAAATATAGGAAGAAAGATAGATTGGAGATGAGATGTTCCATTTTGGCCATGACAAATTTGATATGCTGGTAGGATTTCCAAGGTGAGTTCTCATGAGTAAAAAGATATATGGTGGTGGTGGTTTAGTTGCTAAGTCATGTCCTACTTTGGGACCCCGTGGACTGTAGCCTGCCAGGCTCCCCTGACCATGGGCTTCTCCAGTCAAGAATACTGGAGTGGGTTGCAATTTCCTTCTCCGGGGAAAAAGATACACAGGACTGAAAATTAGGGAAAGCTCTGTGCTAGAGATGAAAGTTTGACAGTCTTGGGGTACAAAAGAGTTCACCTACAATGAAGTAAAGAAGGGAGAAAAAGCTACATTTAAGGGTTGGGGAAAACAATGGAAACAGTGGCTGACTATTTTTCTGGGCTCCAAAATCACTGCAGATGGTGACTGCAGCCATGAAATTAAAAGACACTTACTCCTTGGAAGGAAAGTTATGACCGATCTAGATAGCATGTTAAAAAGCAGAGACATCACTTTGTCAACAAAGGTCCATCTAGTCAAGGCTATGGTTTTTCCAGTGGTCATGTATGGATGTTAGATTGGACTATAAAGAAAGCTGAGTGTTGAAGAATTGATGCTTTTGAACTGTGGTGTTGGAGAAGACTCTTGAGAGTCCCTTGGACTGCAAGGAGATCCAACTAGTCCATCCTAAAGGAGATCAGTCCTGGGTGGTCATTGGAAGAACTGATGTTGAAGCTGAAACTCCAATACTTGGGCCACCTGATGCGAAGAGCTGACTCACTGGAAAAGACCCTGACGCTGGGAAAGATTGAGGGCAGGAGGAGAAGGGGATGACAGAGGATAAGATGGTTGGACATGAGTTTGAGTATACTCTGGGAGTTGGTGATGGACAGGGAGGCCTGGCGGTCTGCAGTTCATGGAGTTGCAAAGAGTTGGACACAACTGAGCGAATGAACAGACCTGAAGGGTTGGGGGAGGAAAAGGAGAAACTGGAAGGAAAGAGCAAAGGAATATGAAAAAAGGAGAAACAAGGGAGAACAGACTGACAGATAATGTGTCCACATCAAGTGGATACAATCTGCATACTACCCTTCAGAGATGTTAATCGTTTGACAGTGGTTGATCTTTAAAAGTAAACGTCACGAGACCTGGTCTAACAGACTTCAGCGCAAAACCAGAAATGAACTTTTTGCAGAGAATCCAACAGGCGAGTGATAGTCATGCCCCTAACATCTTTGGGCTTAGGATCTAGGACACATTCAAACTAACAGGGCAACAATGATCTAAGAAGTTCCAGGGAGATAATGTTAGAAAAAATACTGAGTTTTCACAGGATAATGGTCTCCAACCTACAAAATACAACCTGATCACCCTTCTCTCTTCTAATGGCCTCATGAGTTCTGTCCTTCTAATTCCCCATCCTACTCATAAACATGTTTTCTGGCATTGTGTTCATGTTTGACAATAGATGTAAATTAACCTATGTTCATCCTCCTTTCTGTCTGAAACAATCACCAAAAATGCCTTTCTCTAGTGCTACATAGTGATCCTAGATTTCTTCCACAGCCAGAGTAGGCTCGATTAGGAATTTGAGAAGTAATGAGCTGGTCTCATTCCTTAGAATGTTTTAACACAATGCAGAACAAGAAAGAGTCCTGGGAAAGTAGAGAGTAGAGGGAGATGACATAACTAGATCTTTCTATAATAGTGATGGTTTTTCTAAAACATTTTACACCAGAAGTTTATATCTGTGGATAGGGTGAGGAATTAGAAAAAAGGATAGAATTAAGGAGGCCATTGGAAGTGAGTTCTTTTTCAAGGATAAACTATAAACTTTAACAGTGCAGTAATCTTCTCTCCAGTCCATATGTTCATCTACCTAAGGGAGTCACGCAGTTACGATTTAGTATAGGATATCTCTAATAGGAGAGTCGAGAAAAGCACATAAAGGACATGAACTTA